GTTTTGACCGGGTGAAAACTAATTATTGAATCATTATTTGCTTGTTAAGTTTAGGTTGCAAACAAATATCTTCTTATACTAACATTATGTAGTGCAAAAAACTATCCCTGCTAAGCGTCAGCAGGCGACATCTCAACAACCTGCCAATAATGAGATTGAAAATGTTTATCTTTCATCTGATCATAACCTAGCAACTGGCACAGTGAGTTTGCCCTTGCTGGTGGAAAGGCAATGCAATCTCCCTCTCCCATAGTAATCCATCTATTATGAGCATTGGCTAGGTTAGTTTGCTTGATGGTATAATGATACTGCAAGCATCATTCATGAGAGTCATGGGTTATATTGTCCCTGTTGCCTTGCATTTATACAAAGTTTGTGCTGTATTTGTACCATTTAGTATTCTAGACTATAAACATATTTTGATGTTGCCCAGATCTATCTTTAAGGTTAAGATGAAACATTTTGATGCATATGGAAGCATCTGAGGCGACTGTCAGTTAAAAAGTGTAGGTATATGTTCTTCATAAGAGCTCTATCATGCTCCATTTGCACTAATTTTCTTGCATTCCCAACAGAAAATATCTGGTCATATTTGGAGTAATATGCTTAAACATCACATGCTAAGGGAAAGTATAAAATGATTATTCTGTCTCGTCCTATATTTTAGTATTGAGAAGTTTTTTTTAATTACAGATTTCATACACTGGTGATATTTGGAACGTTAGGATAATTCTGTCGCAAAAGTTTTTCTTTGGGGTATATGAGTACTGTAGCATGGAAGTATCTAGGAAAAGTGAACAATGCACTAGCTTTATGAGTGATCTTTTACCATGAAAGGCACATTTAAATTCAAATTCCTTTTTTGTCACATCCATGTTTCCCTGTCATTAATTTTGTTTTAAAATTCAATTTAGTTATTTCTTCGTTGAGTTAATTCTTGAACGATGAAAATCTCTTTTTAAATAATTTTTTGCGTGACAAATTAATTTTATTTTACATGAATGTTTTCTTACATACGATTTCTTTTGTATCCTATTGCTATAAAGTGCAGACCAAAACCCCTTCAAGGCGTCACCAGATAACAGCTCAACAATTAGCTGATGAAGATGTTGAAGATGATGACCTTTCATATGATCATAGCTCAGCGGTTGCCACACCGAGCATCGGGCTTGCTGGTGGGAAGGCGATACGACCTCGCTCTCCTATGGTAATTTGTGTATTAGATATTATAATTTGGAGCTATCTCTAGATTTATGTCCATGAAGTTAATATAATAGGAAGCATCAAACATGAGAATATGCAGGTTGAATTGTATGACGTTCTATCTATGAAAAGTTAATGCTCTCTGTTTCCCTTGTATTATAAATCTCCACTAGAAATCTAGTTTAACTTTAGTTCCCTTTAAAGTTTTGAGTTAAATCAATTCTGTATTGCCTATTTTATATATTTTGTGCATATAAATTAGAGCATTTTGAATTATCCATCTGTTAAGATTTTACTTGGGGTAAATGTTTATCAAAGTTTTCTCATCTGT